CCCCCAAACACGCTTTTATAGATAGATAGGTTTAAAAGATCCGTTAACATCAATTTTATGTCGTTTCTCTATAATATGTTTCGCAATAGAGGAGCTAGTTCTCCTGTTCTCACCAGTAATGGGTTCTGAAGATTCTGTTCTCTTCTGGAGCTATTTAGGAATATGCTCTGGAACCAGCCCTTACTTGCAGGGATCGATGAGTCATCTCTACGTATGTTTGTCCAAACGTACAGTGAAATTGGTAAATAAAGCGGGATGTGACATCATTTTTTGCATGTTCAAAGGACTTAGATGAATATATGGACTTCACATTCTCAATTAGTCTGCACTTAGTTGCATAAAAAATCTTTTTAACCACAGCGTTCAACGGTCGTCAAGTTACCAAGCTGCTGTGATCACCCATATAGGGTAACTTGATGTACACGTCATTTTTAGGGGCAAGTTGCAGTATAGGTCTTGGTGTTCTGACTACTATATATCTCCTAATGAATTTGTCTGGATAATTATTACAAACCAGAGTTTGTGTCAACTTTCTTTCGTCTTCATCAAGTGTGTCTTCAGTCCATATTCGTTGGATTCTACTGAAGAGGCACCTCACTCACTAAAGCTCTTTTGTACTGAACAGGGCAGAAACTGTGATCATTAAGATACTGTCCTGAACATGTAGGTTTTCTATAAACAGATCGTTTTATTGATCCGTCAAGCCGTTGACTAAGCAATATATCTAGGAAAGATATACATTTATCTTTCTCTTCTACAGATGTACAGGTGTACTATTACCTCCCTTCTTTGGTTTAATGATCTTCACTGTTAATTTGACCTTCAATATATCCTTTTAACTTGACCTAAGTCAATTTTATCACCCGTTAAGTCCATGTGTTATGGATCAGACAGACAAATTGCGTATTCTTTATCTGCTTTGTCTAAAATAAAATGTTATCCGAAAACCCTTGGACCGACCAAAGTCAAGTTCAAACCAGCTCTGAATGTGAAGAATCCCTTCAAACCACTTGAATTCTCGGCTGGCTGGCTAACTAACCAACTAACTAACTAACTAACTAGCTAGTGGAAATCTTTAGAAATCTAATACACTTAATACACTGTTAATTCTTTGTACTTCTGATTGCATTACACATAAACTCTCAAACATCAAACAGATATTATTTTACGCTTCATTTTTTTCTTCGTGTTTCTCTATTGTTTTTCTTCTTAAATTAATATAAAGGCTACAGTAAGTTTATCAATAAAATGTTTAATTTTTTGAGTACCTCTCAACTCATAAATTATTACTATTATTATTGATAATATTATTGTAATCCTTACTAATAATCATAAATTACTATCTACTGTCCTATCAAAGTATCTATTACAATCCTACACGAGGTGGTCAGTCACAAGCCCGAATAGCTCACTAGTGGTTAACGTCGTCTCTGACTGTTACAGTGGATGACCTGGGTTCGAATCGCACAAGTTTCAAGGAATAGTGAGGAAACGTGCTGGTGACGACTACCAATAAGCACAAAACCTGAGGGTGACGCAGGGCTTCCTGCTGATTGTCTCTTCACCAACTAAAATGAAACAAAATTATATAGAGGAAAGGTGTGAAAATTTACAAGGGATCTATTATCAAATCATAGAATCGTGTATACGTGTGATTTTTAAGAAAGCATATCCTGTGAAGAAATTTATATAAAAGATGTGAATACTTTGCAAAGATTTGATTGGTTACAGATTTTGATGGTGATCTGACATCAGCGTTGCAGAACCATTGGATAACCAGGGAGTTCTGTAAAGCTGGTTATATATTTCATCTGAGTTTGGGACTCTTCAACAGTAATCACCCAGCCTTAGGGTTTGAACTCAGGGTGTTCCGGTTACAAGGCTTGCTTGCAGACCATTCAACCACTGGGAATATCGCCTGAGTGTCCTTATATGTATTTGTACATACACCTGAATGCTATTATGACAATAATTTTATGATTCAGCATACCAGTAACACACTTTATTATATATATATATATATACATATATATGGCAGTGAAAGTCTGTCATCTTTGTTTTTTATTACTACTTTTATTGAAGTAAATCAATTTACAGACTACTTGGAAGTACTACTTAATTTGAAAGAATTGTTAGTGTGAACAAAGAATATCCCGTGTTGATAACCTCATATTCCACTGATTCTGACTGATTGACTGGTTTCAATATAGAACTTTGCACAGATGTGCATCAGTTCGAGTCGCCACACTCCATGTAGCACACAAAGCAAGAGAAGAAAGTAAAAAGAAATGCAAAATAGAGATAGTAAACAGGGAGATATGGGGTAAAAAGAATAGTAATATCGAAGATCAATACAGTTTTATTGGATGCATCTGCGCTGTTCATTGAGAACGATTTTGAGCCATATCATCAATTGTCTTCAGACATTGGTCTCCACCGTCCCGAGAACACCGACCAGTCAGGAAGTCTACACCTTCGTACGTGGCTGGCTGGCCGGTCAAAACTAACTGTTGTGGATTTCATTGACTGATGAAACCATGTTTTGGTTTGACAACCACTGGCTCTTTTCCAACCTGACTCTGTGGCAGTCAGCTAGCATTGCCCACAGAGGAAGGCGGTGGCTAGTCATGGTCGGCCTGAAATTTGGGCTACCGATATCCATGCTGAAAATTCCACACTTGTTCGGAAAATACAGTGTGGAATCAAGCTGTAATCAAAATAAAATAAATTTTAAAAAAATGTTTAACACATGTCCTATCCATGCCAATTGATGTAACTTCACAACCTCATCTATTGATTTCGCCTCCTTACTTAACACTTGGCCTGTGCCTGACCTCAATATTACTCACCCCGTTATACCACGCCACCTAACACAGGAGATAGAACGCAGGCACCTATGGTCAAAGACAGCTAGCCGGCCTTTTCATGTCTTCCACTCTCAATGGCCAGGTCTCACAGCGAGCCATAAAGGAGGACGGAGCGGACTGCTGAGCAGTATACACGTCCTTTGGTCAATAGCCAAGCGGATATCACGTCTTCACCACAAACAACGTAAACTGGCATATGCGAAACAATCCTTCTGTATCCGTACTGAGATTTTATCAGCGATCAACCCATTGGCGTTGGCCGATGCAAGTTCCCAAATAAGTGAAGCATTCAACGTGCTCTAGCACTTCACTCCTGCCTATTTCTAAGCTATAAGTCAGTGTAGTCCAGTCCTGTAGCATCATCTTACATTTGACAAGGGGATCGAATGGCATGCCAAACATTCGCAGATTGTAACTCAAGGTGTTCAGAATCTACTGGCTTTACAGTTATATATATATCTTTAATAATCAAAGAATTATTGTTATCAACAAGTTATCAAGTCATTAAGAACAATGGATTACAATTCAAAAGCATCTGTAATAATAAAGACTTTATGAATTTATAGATGCCACAACAAGCTACGCTAGCAGAAGTGGTTGGACTTGTTTGCGAAAACTGCTTGTGTCGTTTGACGTATTCAGAATCTAGAAGCTGGTAATAAGTTATTAGATACCTGACAGCTGATAGGACAAGATTTTTTGATGCTGGCCTTTTTGTTTGCTTGAACAGAGTGATTGAATATCAATTTTGAATTATTTGTGTATTCTGAGGAGGTGGTTGATAGTTTAATTGCGAAGCTTTTGTCGTCCACTTTAGAGGCAACATCTCTCTTGAGTTAAGGTTTTAGTAAAAAATGAACTTATTTAAATTCTCCATGAATGATGTAATTATATCTCCTGGCAACCACTGTCGTGACTAGTTGTTTAGTTACGTCTCTATTGATCATTTTTATTGATTCGGAATTCAAAATTTCTTGTCATGGAGAATTTAAATGACTTCATTTTATACTAAAACCTGAGCTGGAGATGTTGTCTGGATAGGAAATAAGAAAGAGAACACAACTAATTCGATATCATCCACCTGAGCTACAAATCTGCTACATTATTTCTAATACCGAACTGTTGATGGCTTTTACCACATCTTTATGTAGCCATACTGCTGGGTGTTCTCGAGAGGAGAAAGATCGATATAATTAGTTCCATATTATTATTATTATTGTGCCCTTTAATTTCTAGAGGAACATAGCGATTCAGTCCCACGTCTCCATTGCGTTCGGTTCGCCAACAATCTTTCCATCTGGCTCCACATCTGTCCACACGCCTTCATCTCCTCTTCGCGTCACCTCCTCCTCCATTTCACCCTTGCACTGACAACCAACTAGCTCGTCGCTCCCCATTCGAGTTTGATGTCACTCACTTAATGGTTTGTTTTCTCAGATTATGGCCATTCCACCTCCATTTCTTCCTATATATTTGTTGTACAATTGTTTCCTGGTAGGTTCACTCCCAAAGATCCCTGGCCATCTGATCTTGAGAAGTGAGCAAAGTTGAATTGGTTAGCCTAGAAAACTTCGTTTTCCAGTTTCGCAATCACAGTCAGTATGAACTGTAGCTTACTGACATTAAAATTTTTCTAAATCAATTTTCTTAACTTCTTCAGTTTTAAGTTGATACGTCACCTATGAATTTCAATTCCATGTACAGATCCCCAACCAGTTCCATTTCAAGAGTATTCATTTGTCTTCATTCCACTGATTCCCTGGTGTGAATATCGGTCTCCAGTAACGATGGTGTAACTTTTTCAAGGTGGGATCGTTAGCCTCACGCTCAACCTTCTCTCTCTCTACCCAACCCACTACCAGGGACGAAGAAGCAAGATTTAGGAGTGCATTAGGGACGACAAAAAATCGAACCCGAACGCACTTACAGTGTGACTGGTCAACATGTTACCATTAAATTAGAGACACAATCAAACTACTTATAAGGCACTACTAATTATTTCTGTTAAATTTTTCACCATATTTACTCAACTCTTTTTTTTCTCCTTTTTTTCATTCGAAAATACAACAAAAACAAAAATTTATCAACTTTTGTGAAAAAAAAACACTCAACTATCAAAATTAAAACATAAAGAGAGAAATATTAGCTGAAGCGCGTACAATGGCCCAGCTGAAACATCGTCATATAGTAAGATTAATTGGTAAGTGATTATTGATCGATGATTATATATAATTTTGATTAATTGATTTATTTATTTGGTTTATTTATTGATGAGCAATTAATCTGAAGATGGGTCAGATGGAGGATTTGGTTGTGGTTGTGTTTTCTGAGATGAGTGGTTCAATTGTGAAGATTTTATGGTCCTTTTAGACGACATCTTTAAAGCACAGACTTCAGTAATGATTACTAAACTGTTATTGTTCCCAGGGGTTCCAAGTGGAATATAGGGAGACCTTCAACAACCCATCTCCCCTTTCCTCTATTTTCTGCTGCGCTCTTCAGCTGGTACGATATAGCAGGCTGTTCAGTACTCCCTGGTGATTTTCAATAGTGCGTCGGTGGCACAGTGGTGAGGACTCTCGCCGACCATGCACATGGTCCGGGGTTCGATCCTCTACCGACGCACGCCCGATATCTATGGTCGGCCTGCAAAATTTGGGCCACCGATATCCATGCTGAAAACTCCATACTTCTACCAAAAGTACTGTGTGGAATCAAGCTGTAACCAAAAATTAAAATAAATAAAAATAAAACTCATATCAATCAGTGGTCAAACCTGAAGCAAATAAAATCCCTACAGAATATCTCTTGAACATGTTGTTAATTCATGGATGGTGTCTGATAGTATGGAATCCAATAGGTAAACATTTCACCTTGTTTGGGACTCATCAGTCAATCGATCCCCAGTGACTTCAAGAGGATGTTCCTAGTGAGCTACTTTAGTCAAACTTTGGTCTTTTCAAACGATGGGCACTAGTTTCAAGTCTGAGAAGGAGAACAATCATTGACTGTGGATTGCAGGTACATCCACTGGCTGATGAGTCCCAAATAAGACGAAACACACATTTTGATAGATTTTACTTCTGACATTCACCATCCACCAATTAGCTTCAAATTACATAGCGAGACATTGTCGAAGTATCTGCACAAGGAGCCCCCAACATGTCGACCTGAGACTGGCCATTTTTGGTCCAATCAATCGACAGGAAAATCTAAATTGAATTCAATTTTTCTTATTACTTTTATATTTTACTCTTTCCTTCCTAATAGGTGTGTGTAAAGAAGAACAATTTATGCTTGTCCTTGAATTAGCACCTTTAGGTCCTATCAATAAATATTTGAAGAGACGTCCGTAAGTTAATATAATTATCATTATCATTATTCTTTTACTACATCATTGTTCATTGTGAAGAATTATTGTAAAATAAAACATCTTCTCTTCCTCTTCTACACAGTTGTCGCCACTTTACTAGCTCATTGATAACATCTCACATTCCATCGGCTAATGTCAGAAGTTTGAATCCTACAGGACGCAAATACGCTTTACTGAGGAATGTCAATTAGCACCAAACCTAAGTGCAGTCAAGACCTCTAGGTTATTGCTCCCAACTACTCACTGTCACTTTATATCCCCCCACGATGTCCAGCTGTCTATCCTGGTGACTCCTTGGGAAACTTGACTGGTAAACTCCAGTCAACAGTAATACTCAAGTATTGATTTGTAGGGATTTAACTGATTGGTTACGGGACTTCATCATGATGAGCTGACGTCGGTTAGAGCATCACTGAACAACCCTGAAGTATTGGACAGCCAGCTGTTTCGTCCTAGTTCGGGGCTTTTCTTCAGTACGCACTGCCCCCCTCCGCTAGGATTCGAACCTAGGACCCTCTGGTTAAAAGGCGAGTTTGTGCAGAAGTTGGAATTCATGGGTTGGCCATTGGATTGGGTCGCAGTTACTTTAAAATAGATTTTACCCATAATAGGTGTGAGAACTCTCCGGTGAGTGCGTACTGCTGGAGAGTCTGAAACTGGAGCAAAGCAGCTGTCCAGTACTCCCTGCAGGTTTTCCAATGGTTCTCTAACAGTAATCCTATTAAGGGTTGAATACATGATATCATCCATGTTCTAGTGAGTGATCCGTATAGTAGCCCTGACTTCACACTGGAGTTGAAAATCCAGATCTTATTTTTGATGCTGAGTGCTGTTGACCTCCACACAGACTTGAGAGTAGCGAAAGCTTGTCTTGCTTTTCCGGTTCTTGCTTTGATATCCTCATCAGTTCCGCCTGTAGTCTCTGATAAAGAGCATCTCAAACAAACTACAGACCTTCATTAACAGTTGTCTTCGCTCAATACTCAAGATCAGATGGCCGGCCAGAAAAGATCAGCAACAGAGATCTCTGGCAATGAGCGAACCAACCAGGAACCGATTGTGAAACAAATAGGCAGAAAAAATGGAGGTGGATTGGCTGGCCATAGTATGAGGAAACCATCAAGTGACATCACTAGACAAGCCATTGCTCTGGTGGAACCCGAAATGGAAGTGGCGAGTTGGTCGTCAGTGCAAGGGTGACTTGGAGGAGGTCATGTGAAGAGGAGATGAAGCCGTGTGGGCAGACTTGGAGCCAGGTGAAGACTCTAGCAGAGAACCGAACGCAATGAAGACGCACGGCTGAAGCCCTATGTTCTTCTAGGAATTAAAGGAGATAATAAAAATAATAATCTAGTGAGCGATCACCGTGGAGAGGGGATCTATTTAATGTATCACTCTGACAGTTGAAACAGTGAGTAGAAGGCGAGCACAATAATTATAATAATAACAACAGTAATTCCAAGACAATAAAATCTACCAGTTGAAATGATCAAATTAAGATCTCTCATGCCAATTATTAATACTCCACAACCTATGCGTAGGCGTTGAGCGTTTCGTCTATTTGATGCCCGGCTCATCAGTAGTGTACTCACTTTTATTCAGATAAAAAGGAAAAAATGAGCCGAACATACTGAATCATTGTCTCTAGGAAGTGAAATAGAAAGGTGATTGACGTCTTATGACCACAGATTCCAAGGGATAGCTGTTTGAGGACATTTATACAATGGCGTCTCTGGAATGGCTTATCATCAGTACTCACCATGCGCCAGAATTTTAACCCAAAACCTCCTTGTTACAAGGTGACTTACACTATTCAGCCACTGGGACCCGATTCAGTAGCCAGCCCAGGAATTCCAACTAGCCAATTTCACTGCCGGAGAATATTTGTCCTCAAACCTGAACGGCTGTAGCCCACTGGTCACGACTCATGTTATTACCTACCTGAATAAGGCCAGTCACTAGTGAGCATAAGGTTGATATTCATATTGATATATACATAGCTAGTAGGAGCAAGTCAGGTTTCATGCGACACTGGATTTCACTTCAAATGTTGAATAGTTCGGAGGTTCGCCTCGTACCCTAACAGTTCCGCGTTCAGTCCCTAGTGAGTGGAGCTATGGTTGTGTGTGTGCTGCTGAGGAGTTCAAACGTAGGACAAAACAACTGTCCGTTACTCCCTGCTTTTCATTGTGTGACTAACTCTCTAAGCAATCTCACTTTATTATTAAATTTGACTAAGTTGAAATTCTCTGTTTTTTTCCCTGATTCCTTTCAGTGATGTCAGTGTACATACATTAACTGAATTAATGCATCAAGTTGCCTTGGGTATGGCATACTTAGAATCATGTAAATTTGTACATCGTGATTTAGCTGCACGTAATGTTCTATTGGTTACCCGGCATTTTGCAAAAATTAGTGATTTTGGAATGAGTAAAGCACTGAATTTCGGTAGTGATTATTATCGGGTAAGTGGATACATTTTTTTTTCAACTCCTTCTTGTCGTATTGTTGGTTATATTTTCTTTAAATGTTTGGTATGTTTTATTACCGATGTCATATCAGACGGGCTGGATTCTGGGTCGTCACCATCTCAAGACCATCTAGTCAATAGTGTGTGTTTCTGTTAAAAACAACACCACTTGGAATGCAACAGAATGAAAATCATTTTTAAAAAAGACGTAGTCAGTAGCGATCTAGTTTTCATAACTTCTCTTCCAAGCTGGGTATTTATTTAACTGCCAACAATGATTACTAGTTTGGTTACAGGATTTCATCATGATGAGCTGACATCGGTTCGAGAACGGTTGGAAAACTCTCGGGGAGTACTGGACAGCTGTTTCATCCTGATCCAGGACTCTTCAACAGAACGCACCCACCCCACTGGGGTTCAAACCCAAGGCCTTCTGGTTATAAGGCTACGTAGGTAGTAGGTCATGAAGACACTGCAACTCGATTCAATGGCTAATGAATTTTAGCTCCCGCCAATTCGTGATATAGCGCGGACTCCATTATTTCACAATGTTTGGAAAGAAGGAAAGTTGCCTACTGATTGGAAGAAGGAATAGCTCGTCAAACTGTCAAAGAAGGGCGACTTAGGCCTCATTCCGCTAAAACTGGCGTGGATGCATTCTCTTGTCTACATCAAGTAAAATACTAAGTCGTGTCATACTGAGGAGAATAAAGGATACACTGGATATAGAACTTCGCCCCCACCTCAGAATAACCTGGATTCAGGAAGGGCAAATCATGTGCTGATCAAATTGAAACTCTACGTATCGTAATCACAGAACAAAGCACAGATTGGCAGTCAAACCTCTACCTCAACTCCATCGACTTCGAAAAGACCTTCGACAGCGTAGAACGAGAAGTAATTTGGAAACTACTTCAACACTATGATATGCAGTGCCCAAATCTTTATCAACCTCACCCAACAGCTATGTGACAATGGCACGTGTCAGTCAAGTGATCCAGTAGTAAGACAAGGTTGCCTGTCTATAATCACCGATGGTATTCTTAATTGTGGTGGACTGGATTATGCGTCAGACTGTAGGAGGCGAGGAGTCACGAATACGCTGGATGACCGATAAGAAGACTCTAGAAGATTTGGATTTCACACGTGGATGATATATGTCTAATGTCAAACAAACTCGAAGACTTGCAGGTGAAAACCAACAAACTGGCTGAAGAGGCAGTTAAAAATGGGCTGAAGGTGAATACAAAGAAGATGGGGGTTATGAAGATAACCAATCAACAGCAACAACAACAACCATCACCAATCACCATCAATGGGAGAGATTCAACAATGATTGCCTCCTTCAGTCATCTGGCCAAGAAGCATCATTTCAACTACAGGCAGTCGGAACGGACGAAGATGTCAAGGCTGATCAGAATCGGAAAGGCAAGATACGCACGCCTTCATCAACCTGAAACCAGTTTGGAAATCTTCCGCTGTCACTCAACATGATGAATAAGATTCGGATTTTCAACACCAACTTGAAGTCGGCTCTTCTACACGGGTCAGAAACTTTGCGTGTGACAAAAAGGATTTCCAACAGCTAGTGGCAGACTTTAATCAAAACCTATCTTGGCTGGCTGGCTCCATACTGAAGATCAAATGGCCAGACAAAAAGCATAAGCAACAAGAAACTCTGGCTGGGAACAAATCAACCAAGAACCGATCGCTCAACAAATATGTAGGAGAAAGTCGAAATGGATGTATCGAGCAGACACTGAGGAGGCCTCCAAATGACATCGCGCAGCAAGTCATCTCTCGAGTGGAATCCAAATGGGAAGTGACGAGTGGGTCGTCATTGCGAGGGTGACATGGGGGAGATCGTGTGAAGAAGAGATGATAGATTTCGGTCAGTGGTGGATTCAGCTGAAGAGGACGGCTGAAGACAGAACGAAGTGGAGATGTGTTGCTGAAGACTTATGTTCCACTCGAAACGCAAGGGAATAATAATAATACTAACTAGCCAATATCACCGCTGGCGAGCACCTGTCCTCACATCCACCCTTCTATACCCCACTGGTCACGACTTGTCACTAGAACTCAGGTAACTACCTACCTGAATAGGTCTATTCGCTAGTGAGCATCTCATTTATATTCAAGTATTGCTTGGTAGGGATTTGATTGATTAGTAACAGGATTTCATCATCATCTGACACTGGTCAGATTAATGGTTTCCTTAATAATTATAGTCATGCGACGTCAATGAAGACTTCATACAGTGTCAGACATAAGGTAGGATCGAGTCGGTTGAAAGAATTTCATCTGCATTATCCTCTGTCTACATCCACAATGAAAACCCTAAATTTTGTGTCCATAAACGTTTTATTCTACCGCTTTTACTAACATGGCCTTAGGCTTAGCTGTTATTTTCCCGATCTGTTTGTGTGACTCATTTTTAATTCTTTCTGTTTTCATTTCTTATAAATTATCTGCACATAACTATTCATCAAGCTAACAGAAGAGAGAGAGACAGGCTTCCTACGCTTATTCCCCTCCTTTTATGAATTTGAATAAAATTAATCTGATGCTCGCTGGTGACTTGCTACAGGACAGAGTTTCCTGAAGTGAGTCCTAGTGAGAAGCGACCTGTGAAGTCCATCCAGCCAAGTGTGAGGATGGATGTCCCATCGATGACATTGGTTGGTGTTCGTGTCCCAGTGGCTGAGTGATATACCAGCTAGCTTGCCTTGTAACCGGAAGGTCCTGGGCTCAAAACCCAATGGGATAGGTGCGTACTGCCAATGATTCCCAAACTAGGATGAAACGGCTAGCTGTTCAGTACTCCCTGAAGGTTTTCAATAGTTCCTTAACTGATATCAATCCGTGATCATCTCAGGAAAACAAATCCAATTCTTACAAACCAAATTATAGAAAATTTGAATAAAGCAAGAACAATGGTAGTTTTTGCAGAATAAAGTGATATCATCACTGTTTATTTCGTTGGCTTCTCATCATCTGCTTACAGCGTAAAGTTATTATTGTTATTAAGTTTATGTACAGAAACAACTTTGACATACTTACATGAGGAGTTCAAGTTTAAACGAAAAATCAGTGTAAATATGCAATGGTAATAATAAGCATATACAATGGAATTTTTCGACGTTATGCAATCAAATGAATAAGAGGATAAAAACACCAAGTTACCAGGGCGACGAAAGGCTGATAACCGCCTGTTTCTAAACACACAGATTGGGTTTCTGGCATTTGATAGAGATTGCTTCAGTTGGCAAACTTGAGGAGAATTAAACTCTTTCATCTATTGATAATTTTGAGGGATGTTACAATGTACCCTTTATGCATGACTCGTATCGAGGAGATGCCTGGTAATGGCACTATAGATAGCGTTTGTTCCCGTGAGATGCAGACTTTCGGTTTATGTTCAGAAAGTCGGGGGTGTGCCCTTCCTGTTTCTGTTCTCCTAAAGTAACTTTTACAGCGGATACATGTAAATTTATACACACGGTTAGAGTTAACGCGAGAAGGGTATCTGTCGACTTTTGATCACGCTACAGAAGAGCGTGTTGTCCAATAGACGGGAACCAACTTATCTGCAAGATAGGCTCTCGCTAGTAGCAAACTCAATTTTCTGTTGACCTTTGCTGCAATATTATCACCTCTAAAATCGAGTCGAATGAAGACAGGCTTCTTTTCCACTGTAATTTCTTTGGCATTAAAGCCTTCATGTCTTCCGTATTGTCAATGAATCTCTGAGTGTAGCCGTTGCTTTTCGACACCTTTTCGATGCTCACTAATGACCGAACCTATTTAGGTAGGTAGTTATCTGGGCTCTAGTAGGGAGTTGTGTCCAGTAGGTTAGATCAGGTTGAGTATGAGGGCAAATAGTCGTCAGCGATGACATTCGCTAGTGGTCGCTCTATGTCCTGTATAAATTGTCAGAAGTTTGAATTCACTCACCGGCTCTTGAATCGGGTCTTAGTGGCTGGATGGTATATGAGCTAGCTTGCCTTGCAACCAGAATGTCTTAAGTTCCAACCGCAGTGAGTGCGTACCGATGAAGAGTCTATCCCAAACTAGAGTGATACAGCTGACTGTCCAGTACTCCCTGTTGGTTTCCAACAGTCCTCAAACTGATGTCAGTTCATGACGAAATCCCGTAACCAATCAAATCTCTGTAAACCAAAACTTCAAAATCAGAAATAATTCAGAATCATCAGAAGAGAGAAGACTGGTATCAAGAACAGAAAAACAGAATATGATTGGGTGACAGGATGAACAGAGTTCGTTTTTGCAGACCATTGAATAAAGAAGTGAAGAAGAAGAAGAAGAATAAGAGTTCTAGGTAAGACAAAACAGGAACTCCATGACACACTGGTAACCAAAGTAAAACAGGCTACAGGTAAGAGAGATCTTAGAACGCTACATTAAATAACTAGGATTCTATCCAATATGCAATCAGAAGGGATAAAACCAATAAGAGGTAGCTAGAAGAATCTAACTATACCAAAGAGGAGAAGTAATAGAAACAATGGGCAGAGCATTTTAAAGAACTCTTGAACCAGACACCAACTGCAGCTCATCCAGAAATACCAAAAACAGCTACAGAAATTTCAGTCAATCCTGAGACAAAAACAGAAGTCGTGTCACGAAGATACCAAAAGACGTGGAGGCAGCAGGAAAAGTAGGAGTTCCTTCTGAATCACTTAAAACATTATGCTCTAGCCACTACTGTAGAAGGAAAGGTGCTTATTGATTGAAAGAAAAGCGACCTTATCAAACTATCAAAGAAGGGAGATTTAAACCTCTTCAAGAACTGGTGAGGAATCATGCTCTTGTCCACGTCAAGCAAAACATTAAGTCGTGTCATTTTAGAGAGACTAAAACAAGCTCTGGATGCATAACTCCTCCTGGAACAAGTTGGATTCAGGAAATTCAAAGCATGTACGGATCTAATTGCAATGCTACGCATCGTCATAGAATATATTATATATATAC